CGGTGTAGGTTCCTGCTGGCCAGCCATGATGTGTCGTCCTCGATATAGGCTCTTACCTGCTGGTCCCCTGTTCTAATTGCTCTTGCTACCCAGCAGCGCTTCATACACAAACGGGGGGGATCTTCCATCAGGACATGCCCTGATGGTGTGTTAAGTCCTTCCGGCATTGCTGTCGGAGGTCAACATTGATTTTTCGACCTACCATACATCACCGGGTAATGCATCATCACCGTGATATGCATCAGCCCCCACGCGAACCCTGTCGGTCCATTCTTGGCGGCATAGCGGACTGCAAAATGAACGGAACCATTGCCAGCAAAATATATATGCCTCGTAAAGATATAGAGATTCATTGACATGTGGTGGGAATGCGAAATGGACGGGTTTGGATGGGTTAATAGATCGATTTTTGGGTGGCATCTAATATTCCGAGGCAAAATAGAGACAAGCAACTGACCTGCGGTACTGACCAAGTCTTGGGAATATATATGAATTGGGGTTTGAATGGCATAATCTAGAGTGTATAGATGCGGTTTAAGTTGCTTAAAAGTAATAAAGCGATTAGTCTAACTTTGGAAGGCGAGCAGGAGTTTGTGCACTTTTCCGAGATCTATTTATATAAAAATCTGAAGCAGCCTGAGCCGTACTAAACTCAGCTGGACTAATTATGCCTTGTCTGTGTGAGCCCAAGTCCGTCTCGGTCCGCCTGAGTTTGTCTAACCCACCTGAGTCTGCTGGACTAAATCTGAAGCTGCCTGAACTCATCTGTATAAATTATATAGATGCTCAGCATTCCTGACCTTCTCTGATAAATTCTAGGCTAGTCTAGACACACCATAGCAATATTGAACTTCAATAAGCTAATATATATTTGCTTGAAGCTACTTGAGACGTCCCAAACTAGTATAAACTCTTGTGAATTACTATTAGGTTACTTCAAGTCAGTTGAGCTCGCTGGAGCATACCAATACATATCAGAACTACTCTAATCTCACCAGCATTTATTTTTGGCCATCATATAGTAACTCGGGGTTAGCTTCCGCAGGTCTAGATTGCTTTAGTATACTTGAGAGGCAGTACCTCCAGAAGTAATTTTAAACTTCAATTAGGATAAGTCACCCAAGTCAGCTTAGGCTAGCTTAACCTAGTATATATGCCTGCATCTATCTCAATATACTGAACATTATCTTCTTTACCACTCTGTACAATCACGGACTCTCAAATGAATTGTCCAAACTCAGGTGGATTCAGGTAAGTCTGAGTTGGCCTATCTAAGCCTGAATTGAATATGCATAGGGCTATATAGGGTAGTATAGGGCTAGGCTGGTAAAGAGAAGCTCAAGTGAAGGTCCAGTGGTATCACACAGTTTAGAAGTAGTACCCATTACATTATAGAAGTTCAATATTGTTCTGGTGTGCCTAGTCTAGCCCACAATTTGTCAGACAAGGTCAGGATCTATATAATTTATGCAGACGAGTTTAGGCAGCTTCAGATTTAGTCCAGCAGACTCAGGCAGGCCAGGCAAACTCAGGTGGACCAAGATGGACTTGAGCTCACACAGGCAAGGCATAATTAGTCCAGCTGAGTTCAGTACGGCTCAGGCTGCTTCAGATTTTTATATAAACAGATCTCGGAAAAGTGCACAAACTCCTGCTCACCTTCCAAAGTTAGACTAATCGCTTTATTACTTTTAAGCAACTTAAACCACATCTATACACTCTAGATTATGCCATTCAAACCCCAATTCATATATATTCCCAAGACTTGGTCAGTACCGCAGGTCAGTTGCTTGTCCCTATTTTGCCTCGGAATATTAGATGCCACCCAAAAATCGATCTATTAACCCATCCAAACCCGTCCATTTCGCATTCCCACCACATGTCAATGAATCTCTATATCTTTACGAGGCATATATATTTTGCTGGCAATGGTTCCGTTCATTTTGCAGTCCGCTATGCCGCCAAGAATGGACCGACAGGGGTTCGCATGGGGGCTGATGCATATCCCGGTGATGATGCATTACCCGGTGATGGATGGTAGGGCACAACTTGCCCTTACCCCTTTCGGGGTCCCCTCGGAGGTATTAGCGGCGACGGGGTGGACGGGCACTGTTATTCTCCGCCGGGCTGTCCCCGGCCTTGCCGCTGGGGAGAGAAAAACTGCCCTACTCCACCAGCCGACCGGACGGCCTTTCCTGTATCGCCTCCCTCATCAGTTCTCAGTTTTCAATATGGGACATACTCACGGCGTTACCCGCTTTCCATATCTTGTAGTGGACCAGACCCACTTACTGAGTTGAATCAGTAGAGAACTATGCGGTCGCAACTCCGCTATAGCATTTGCCTTTGCTCCTTAAGCCTCAGCAGGTGAACTGCGTACGCATTGCTGCGTTCATTGAGACCGACACCCGCATCCGTCCTGTCGGACCGTTACGCTGCAGTTAACCCGGAACCCCGAGCTCTTGTATGCAATGTCAGGGAACACGCGTAATGGAATTCATTACTCTAATGGTGCTCTGAACCGTACGTAACGCCTCGCCTCAAGCTGCATTTCTCAGCTCTTCGCGATGCAGAAGGTGGTACATACAAACTCCCACCATCCGCCGGCGGTGTCTCGCCACCGGTCTCTATAGGTATATTACTGTGAACACTACTGCTCAATGTGAACGATTCGCAGTGGACACTATACCAAAGATCCCCCAGTGACTAACCAATACATCACACGTACTGGAGGAAACCCCCTACGGGTAGTGCCAGCCATGACTGTTTGTACGAGATGTGACCTGTCCGAGCCCAACCGGAATTCAACCGGACTTAACCTGGCGCACGCACCTGGTGGTGAGTCAACTGCTAGGTAATGGAGATGACTGGGGGTACTTCACTACGACGAGTTGCTGTCTCTGCCCTTGCTCGGCTATCCGCCCCCAGGTGCATTTCGACCCCGAAGGGCCCCCACCAGGACTCGAAGGGAGGATAAGCGAGTGTAACAGTTGAGACTATCTATGCATGAAGTAGGCCCTGAGTGGCATTTCTCCCCTTCGCAGGAACCTCTTGGGACCCGGTCGGTTGGTTTTCAGGAACACCAGTAGCCAACTGCATACTCGACGTGTATTGCACACATCGCACTCGCGCTTTTCATCTCTGCATAGGACGAGATTTCCCCGTCTTAGCATGCGAGGGGCTTGTACGTTCCTCTATCTTGTCTTGGAGGGGTTCGACATTTGCGATCCAGCCTAGCGTTTGATGGCTTGAGCCGTGGTAACCTCCTGTAATCTTCCGTAGGGCTTGGTACTCGAGGCGTTGCATAGGTTGCAGGAGTCCTTGATGTTGTGAATTCCAGAGCTCCGCTCCCCATGTAAAGATGCTTCGTATACTAGCTAGCTACCTAGTTCTTATCAATCATCATCATCTTCGCGTTCGACTTCAATTTCCTCTTCTATACCCTCTTCCGCTAAACCTCGCTCTAAAATCATCTGGAGTATAAGCGGAAATTTGGCTCATTGTGCTGATTGTAGATGCAGTACAGGAATGTGCAGATGAGCGGAGAAAGAGTATAATGAGCGGAAAAGAGAAGAAGGAATCTCTACCTTTAAGTACCGAATAACACATATTTACAAGCGAAGGCTATCGTATATCGTAGGCTGCTAAACTGATTGTCGCAACCCATGAATTTGTCGAAATTTCCTTTCGCCAAAGCAAGAGCAAGGTTAGCACACACCACGCTTCTAATCCGATATCAATATACCCAATTGGGTCACATTATTTCTATTTGTGAATTCCAAGTGTCATAATCAGCAACCAGTCCAACAATCAGCGGACGTCAATAAGAAACCATTAGTCCTCCAACTATCAGTGGATTTATCGACCGTCGAACTATCAGCGGGCTTGTCAATTGGAAACCACTAGGCAGGTCGCTGATGAGGCTAGGAAAATGCCTAATGGAGCCTGTTGACATAGGAAATCTAAAACAAACGTCGACTTTTTATCATATAGATTCAAATGTCATGGGAGAGTTTCCATATCTATGACTAGCACATTTTGCTCTCAGCAAATGCCAGTGCATATAAACCAGCTGCAGTTGCCAGTACCTAGAGCATCCATCGACCGAAACACCACCTTCTATAAACGACTGGCTTACACTTTAACTTTTCTTTTTGTATCTCGACCATGTCTGCAACATCTTCAACCTCATATTTATGTGCATCCCAGGGCCGTACTTACCCCAAATTCTGATATCCCAACAAGCCACGAACGCATAAACAAAGCCATATCTCTTCTCGAGCAGAAAAAATACCGAATGCCTTCTCCCAGGCATATGCTCAAAAGTTTCCGAATGGCCGAAGAAATCACACCCACACTACTAAATCAATGTGGAATCATCACCAATATATATCGACTCTCAATAAGCACTCAAACTATATTCCAGTATCCCTGGAACAGGAAAACAAGGGGGTCCGACTGGTTTAGCAGCCTCGAGATGGGCCTATTGAGGAAACACAACTTGGTAAGTGTACTGGTTCTGTAATCAGAAAATTATAGATTGCTAAACTCACTGCACGTAAGATATGAGATATTACACTTTGCAATGGCTGGATTGGGATACCTTTTAATACAGGAAGGATAAGGCGGGAGGGAATAATTTGTGTCTTTGGGGGAGGGGGGTTGCATTGACGTGCCTGAGTCACTTCGAAGAGACCGATTTTTTACCCCACGATATTCCCCATGCCTCGTTTTTTAATTTATACCCATATGCATCAACATGGTGGTTACTTCGGATTTGGAGAAATTATATTTTCATTACTATAATAATCACAGCAACAATAGCAGGCAGGTAGTTTCCAGTCCCACTCTCAGTTGGAGACTCAAGCTATAGTTGTACATAGGGCTTAGGTGATAGATAATGGAACATCGCCATTATGTCAGATTGGAAGCAGTTTTTTATCAATTTTAGTCATGTATGAAATAATGAAACGAAAAAAAAAAACAGGAAAAAAGAAATTTGGCTGTGCACGGAATCGAACCGCGATTGTATCGGGACAGTTGAAGATCCACAACGATACGTGCTACCATTACACCACACAACCCCTCAATCTTTGATAACCTACGCTCCTGAGGAGATACATAAACTTGGTTGAACTAGAGATCAGACTGTACCAATATCACATATATTAAATATATCAGGGTACGGTCCTAGATTCCTGCTTTGAATACACTATCGAGACTTGTAATATTGAGGCTTCAACCACGTAATCCGAAATGTGCTGATTTTATTCCGATTTAACATATACGAGACTACAAAATATCCATAGTATACTTTGATAAGTTCATTGTCGGTTATATTTATTAGTACCTATGCACTATAAACTTAAAGAACCTATAACTGTGTTCATAACTTTTTCTCCTCACTGGGTGAAGCGTTTAATCTGAAACTCATGCCTTCACCACGAATTTACAAGTTCCTTCATTCACAACAACATGGCCTCTTCTGGCCATAGTCATAGGGCTCGTGGGTATTTATTAGCTATCTTGAGAGCTTTCGTCCACTTCTGCTACAAGATTATCAACTTCGAAATCAGGTTCAGTTCGACAGGGAAAGAGATCACGTCCGAAAGTGAAAAAATCCCAAACAATTTGCCGCCGGCACACAAGATACTCCCATAAAACTCATTCTGCTCGGAAAGTTATTCAAGTTTATAAGCTACCTACAACAAATAAACACAAATATGAATACCTTCGCCCAGTTTGCTCGCAAATCCTTCACTACATCTGGCGTCACCCCCGCAAAAGCGATAGTCACCATCACCTCCACCAAACCTCAGAGTCCCCAGCGCCAGCCAGTTCACATTATCACCCCGAAATATAGTCTATCTAGAGAGAATTCCTGCGTGGGCTCCGATATTGCGCGGGATTGGAAGTTTGATGAGATAATGATCAGGAATCATGAGGAGGTACCACCGATGGACTTTCGGGGGGAACGGAGAATGTTGAGAGCATTTTCAGAGCTGTTGAAGAAGGTCTAAAATGTAGAAACCCAGGATCAGCAATAGAAGGAGGGAGAATTATCGGTGGGTGTTTGATAGTTCAGGGCTGGGGCACGTGAAAGGAAGAGAAACAAGGAGGGTGTTGGAGAAGGACTGGTATAGTGGTATATATTCAGTAGAGACGACAGTAGGGACAAGGATTTTGAACCCAGAATCTGCAAACCAGAGTAGGAAGAAATGAAATTTTAGTTCCATCGAGGCATAAATTCCCACAAGCCGCTTGTTAACCGAATGCTCTTTGCCAATAAGAGCTACCTACTAATGGAATAACAATCGACTCCCTGGATTGAGGTTGTGTGAGAGGCTTGGGGCCAGAGAACCAAGAGTGGTATTAGATATGGTCTGATGCGATACGTATTTCGACCTGGCTTTGGGTCAGGTAAATAGCCATAGACTGTACATTCCGTGTCCATTCACTCATGCGGTGATGGGATAAATCACTTCCTGTCCTTCTTTATTGCAATAGGTATGAGTTGATCTGTGAAGTCTAATGCTATGAGACGGTCCTGATCCCTCATCCTAAAAGACTCGGTACACCCTCGGAACAAACGGGCTACATAACATCCTGCCTTCCGAACCAAAGAAATAACAGAAATAACCCCTTCCTCCTCCGCAACGCCCTTTTACCGGCTCACACCCCCGCAGTGAATATAGTCTACACCTCCATGCCCATTTGCCGGCCCTCCCCTTGACAAAAGAAATTCATGACCCCTTCCTATGTTACCCCCTGCTCAAGCTAGACCTACTGCATATTCCTCCCCCCCATCTTTTATCTTCTTCAGCCACCTACTCCAGTCATCCATGTCTTCCCAACTCCCCCACCTCCTACCAATTTCTTCCCTGTGTGGGCAAGGCTACATGCTTGCCTGTTTCTACATATCGGCCACATGTTCTATACATTAGGTCAACGGAGTCATCCACCTTGTTCCTCCAGGATTGTAGGTTGCCCTTCCCTATCCTGCAATGGACATAATTAACTCGTGCTTTCTATTCCTATTTAACTACCTACTAGCACCTGCCGCCACCACTCTTCTTTCTGCCTCTCTTCTCCTATTCCACTCCTGCTTAAGACCCCTCTCCGTAATTAGAGGTTGGGATGGATAAGAGTCTTTTGTACCCGCCTTTGCTAGAACATCTGCTTGTTCATTTCTAGGGATGCCTACATATGTCTTGACTTAGTCAAATCGAACTGTCTCAAGCCCTAGTACATCTTATCTCTTCCTGACTTCAAGTACTGCAGACCCTAGGTCCACTGTTCTAGCTTTTCCCCTTCTTCCTTCTTCCTACCTTTCTAACTGCTATTATAGCTGCCTAATAGTTCGTAAGGGTCAGAAGCTTTCAGTCCAGTGGGCTTTCTAACAGTATCTTTCTTACCAAAAATTCCTTGTTGGCTTCGGGTACAGTTATACCCTCTTCATTGGGGATCCGTTGTGGAACACCCCTCATAGCATGGATTCCCTTGGTCGGTGTTTTGATTTCTTACACATTCGGACTTCGAACCTCTACAGCCGCTGCGAACCGAGGAGGTTTAGTAGATAGGTTCTTCACACATGCTATAGTAGGAAGAAAGAAGTGTTATATTTAAAGAGGGTTCAATGAGAACGATGGTTGGGTGTTTATTGTAGGTAGTGCAAACAGACTATGTATCTAAGTGCTACGTCAAAGTACTTGTTACATTTGATGCATTTTCGCCAAGGGGCCACCCATAAACTAGCCTATATATAAAAAATTAATGTTTTATACCAGACCCTCCAAAGGAGAGTGTTGTGCCAACCAGACTAGGTGTTTAGGCAACTCGTTGTTCCGTGAGAGTACCGAACCTTTAAAGGGGAGGAACGGAGCCGTCTCATAGCCTTAGGTTCCACAGACGTACAGACTCCAAAAAAAAAAAAAAAGTCCCAATTGGTTTTGGAAATACATCTTTGACGTCCGGAGGGGATTGTATGTGGCAACCGTTCCGGCCTCCTGGCGGGTAATTACTCATTTCCTTGATTCGGCCGCTGACCACCTGTACCCCTGGAAGTCCATACTTTCACCAATCGTTTTATGTTGCCAACTCGGTATTGATGGCAGATTGAATACACGAGGTAGGCCCCAAGTTCTCGATCCAACGTGTTAAGTTTGGACCCAGAGAAGGTATCCTCCATGAGACCGTCATCCCAAAATTTCTGTAGGGCTCAGGTGAATGTCTGGCGGTTTTGTGCTGAGACTAGTGGGGAATTTGGGTCTGGTAAGCCGTAGACCGCCAGCTTGTACATCAGGTTCGCTATCTTGTCTTCCTGAAGATCTAAGAGCTCTAAACATACCCCCAGAGTATTAGGCCTAGACTCCCTAAGGTCAAACCGTTCTGGGTTTGGCAGTTCGCTCATTAGAGCGAGATTGATAGGCATTATAATAGTGGTGTAGGTAGGAGAGATTCGTTGTATTTTAATACTAAGATTTACATATCAGATATGCTCACAAGCCTTTAACCACAAGATACTAACCTGAGTATGACCCACAGTACCTCCTGACTAACACTCGATAGGTCCGCGGATCAGCTGGTGATGACAATGCTGTGAGTCGGTTTTGATGCAGAATTGATTTGTACGAGACCAAATGGTAACTTATTATTCCTGCACCCGTATTCCTACATCCTCTACCGCCGCCATGGGACGCGCTCCCCCCGTCCTCCCCGCCCCTTCTGACCACCCCTCCCCCTCTTACCGCCCTCCCCCTCCCACCGCTTCCCGCCTCACTGCCCTGGCCCACCCTTTCCCCCCCATCACCCTCACTTGACCCCCTACTTGGACTCTGACCGCCCCGACGCTCGGCCAACAGCATTGCCATCACCTCCTGTTAGCCCTCCGCTCTTCCCTCTCTGCTGCCATGGCTTCCCTGTCCGTTACCCGCTCTGCCTCCCTGGCCACTCTTTCTGCTTCCCTAGCAACTCTCTCTTCCTCTCTGGCAGCTCTATCCCGCCTCCCTCGCTTCTCTATCCGCGATCCTCTCCGCCTCCCTCGCTTCTCTATCCGCGATCCTCTCCGCCTCCCTCGCTTCCCTCTCAGCAACCCTCTCCGCCTCCCTCGCTTCCCTCTCAGCAACCCTCTCCGCCTCCCTCGCTTCCCTCTCAGCAACCCACTCCGCCTCCCTCGCTTCCCTCTCAGCAACCCACTCCGCCTCCCTCGCTTCCCTCTCAGCAACCCTCTCCGCCTCCCTCGCTTCCCTCTCAGCAACCCCTCTCCGCCTCTCTCGCACTTCGCTCCGTGGCAGAAGCTTGAAGGGATTCGAGGAGCACACGTAAAGCTTGAAGGAAGGATTCGAGGAGCACACGTAAAGTGTCGAGCTCAGGATTTGGACGGGGTGGACTCCAAATTCTGGTTGACCAGTATTTATGGAGCATTGTGTGTGAGTCCGATGTTTTGTTGCTGAATTATTTGAACTCCCAAATTCTGGTTGTTTGTTGGTGAATGGATTTGAACTCTCAGTTCTGGTTGATTAGTGTTTTTGGAGAGTGTGTGTGAGTCCGGTGTTTGATTCTGAATTGATTGGAACTCTAATAGTCTGGTTGGCACTTGGAACTCCAAATTCTGGTTCAAGCGACCATTGTTTATGGAGAGTGTGTGTTGGCTAGGCAAAGAATTGTACTAGGGTATACCCTGCTCACGCCCAGTACAAAATAGAGTATTGTTGTGACCCATACGCCTAGTCTGGTTGGCACAACCCCTCGGTAGAGCCATACGCTAATCTGTTAGATTGGCCTCATGGCACGAGAGTGCTGAAGAACACACACTCAGAATAGAACTCAACTCACTCTTCTCGTGAGGAAATCTGAAAAGTGCGTATATCTATATATTTATCTATGTGTGTAGATGAAGACAAAGAACGAGAACTTTATATATGCAACATGACCGAATGCCAAGCCCGACAATATTTCCCTTTTAAGCAATTTCCAATTTCAAGCGCGTGCCAACCAGACTAGGCACGAGACTACGACCCATTGCCTCTACGAGGAGCTCTGACCTACGATCACACAACCTTGAGCGAATGGGAAGTTTTGAAGT